GCGAGCCCAGCTTGGGGCAGCCCTGTCTCCTTCCCCATCCCTGTCCCCATCCCCATCCCCATCCCCCTCCATCCCTGACCCCTTCCCAGTCTCTGTCCCAACGCCTCGGTGTGCACATGCACTTGTGCACCATGGGTCCCATCCAGGGGCGGTCCTGCCAGCAGCTCTGTGCCCCATAGCCAAGTGCAGCAGGCCATGAGCTGTGCTCTGTGCCATATGGACACCGCTGTGTATTTTGGTACTTCATTGCTCGACAGTTTGCATCACTGTATGTCACTGTCGCTGAGGAGCCAGCCTGCTCCAGGAGCAGCACCGCCACTGGGTTAATGGTTAAGAGGAAGCATTGACGTGCTGCAGGCAGTGGGAATCTGCTCCCCCATCCGCGGGGCTGGGGTCAGGGCCAGTACGGTCTGAAGGACCCACTGGTTTGACTCGGGTTTGCTGTGGACGTGTCCCAGATAGCAGGCAGGTCCTGCAGGCACGGGCACCCTGGGGCCCGGGCAGGGCGCGTCTGAGGGTGCACTGCTGTCCTGTCCTGCACCTGCAGCATCTCCTCCCGCAGCTTTCTTTTCCTCTAGAGCTGTTTTGAAATCCAGAGAAATTAGATATGATAATGTGCTGTTCAAACAGTGATAAGGTGTGGCGCAAACAGTGCCTGGGCTGGGAAATAAAGGAGCCGGTGGGGCTCGTGCCCCGAGCTTGGACCTTCCCTCTCTGCTGCCCTGCGGGCTCAGCACTGGGAGGGCCGGTCACCCCATGCTGCCCTGCTTCCGCCCGCCGCCCCCCGGCACAGCACGGCACGGCACAGCACGACAAGCAGGAGCAGCATCTTCCCAGAGCACAGCCAGCACCGGTAGCCACGGCTGCTGTGTTGATTGCAGCTGCGGTTCCGCTTCCCCGGAGCAGCGGCTTTCAGGGAGGGCATGGAATCGAATCGCTGTATTTTCCCATACATCATTTTGCCCCAAATCCAACTTTTTCTCTCCATATTGCAGAGCTCACTTGGAGTAATTTGCCCTTCGCAGGCTCAGCTGTAGAGGATGGGATTGTGTATTATGTGCAGGATGTAATTGCCTTTAACAAGAGAATTTCCACATTTACCACTCTGCCACAGCACAATCAAAGCCAAGCCCCGCTCACAAGAGCTGCCATTTGAGTTCTAAATAGATTTCTCTCCTGAGCAGGTAAAGAGATTTAATTAAAATTAGGGCTTCTCAAAATAGCAATATTTATGAGGATGGCACAGGTTAGCTTTGTTCTACAGAAGGGCTTAATAGAGCCTTAATGGATTGACCTATCATTCGATTTCATGACTTACATTCATGAAGCAGCTACTCTTGGGGAGGGGAGGAAGAGAGGCTTTTATAGCCCACATTCCCTTAAGCGTTTGCAATTTATCAGCAGCTTCTCCCAAACAAAAGGAGCTGTGAATAGGAAGAACACTTGAGGGCATAGAAATAATCCCAGGCATATCTGTATGTGTGATGGGAGGCTTTGTCACAGGACAGTCTTTGCAACTGCTGCAGTGTCTCTAAATGAAGTGAGTCAATGTTATTTGGACAACATTCTTTATTCCTTGCAGGAATGAAAAGATTATTCAAATATTCAATTAAACAGTGAATAGGGTCTTTCAGAGAACCAGGTGAGTTCATCGAGTAGAACTAGCTATTGTTGAGCCAACTCAGGGGATAGATTTGACATTTATCAATATAACTTCTTTTTTTTAATGACATGCATAATAACCTTATGCAGATAAAGAGATTTCATAACAACAACCTGGGTAGAAGGGAGATGGCCACAATAGGAGCAAATGTGCCGCAGGAGTGAAAAGGGAAGGGTGATCTGATAAAGTGCATCGTGGCACGACCTGCAGCACTTTGTGCCTGCGCCACACAGCGCCCGGCCCGGCCGTGCAGCCTGGCCATGGGCATGGCCTGAGGCTGCCTCTCCCCAGGGGCCCCACAGGCCCCCCGGCTGCACCTCCGCTCCCCGGGCTCTGCCCAAGCATGGGCCGGGGGCTCCCAGCTTTACTGGGCTGGAGCAGCACCGGGTGCCGCGGCCCCCCCGAGGGAGCCCTGTAAGGCCAGGTAGTGTGGGGGGGCCATGGACACCTCCACCCGGCAGTCGGGGTCCCGTCCGCTCCCTCCTGCTCAGCCACCTCCACCACCAGCACCACACTTTGCCCTCCCGACAGCTGCTCAGTCCTTTGGCTACAGCAGGGACCAAAGCCATGTTTGATTCCCCTCTTTTTTGGGGTGAAAGCCAGAAATAAACCCCAAACACCCAACCGCCTTGGCCAGAACCTGTCCCCAGATTCCCCTGTTCCCAGCCCGTGGGTGGGATGTGTCTGGGCTGCCAACGCAGACCTGAATTTGGCCATGCATCAGTGGCTGCTGGACGTGGGCAGCAGAGCCGGCAGTGCCGTTACCCGAGCGCAGTGCTGCTGGGTACCTCCGTGCCGTACAGTAAATCTATTAAATCCACTTGCCCCAAACGGACTCGGTGCTGGGATTTGAAGCAAGGTCTCCCACGGGCGGGCGCCAAGATACCATCGCTGTGTGTAGCTGTAGCTGGCTGACAGGGCGGTGCCCAGCACCATTTCCCTAAAGCCACTGAAATCTGCATGCGGGGCTGGATCAACAACATGTTGCGCAGCTTGAAACCGGTGCTTCATTCACGGAGCACTCATGGCAACCTGAGCACCAAGGCAGCATCCTTGGAGGGCAGACCCCAGCTCAGGCTGCCCCAAGAGCCTGGAGAAACCCTGAGCCACCAGCCTGGGCTGTCCCTGCAGTCACCCTCCTGCCATGGCTGCGGGGCGGTTACAGACCAGTCGTCCCCAGTGACAACCTGTGCCCTGGGGCCGTGCATGCCCCGGCTCTGCAGTGCTGCCGTTGGGGCCGCAATGGCCCCTTGGCAGCCAGACCCTGCCTGCACCTTGGTGCCACTGCCTGCTGCGCCGCTTCCCACCCTGCAGGCAGCAGAGCTGGCAGCAGGATTACGGGGGAGCTGCTGCGACCCTGGCGAGGCGCGGAGGATTAGGGTTTCCAGGCTGATGAGCCCTGTTGCCACATTGGAAAGACGAGGTTTATCGGAGAATTAATTCAGCCGCTTCCTCGACCTTCAGGAATTAAAGGGGGCTGATGGCAACAGCTCCCTGCGTGTGGGTACAGCTGGTAACAAGTTTCGGCTTTGCGGCTTTCCGGGTGGCGAGGGCAGGGGGGCACGGACCCTCCCGCTGCCAACAGGGGTTTGGGCATCTGTCTTCAGCACTGGGGGAGACCCAGGAGGCAGGGCAGGGATGGGGAGCCCATGGCCAGGCAGGGACAGGGCGCAGGACCCCTCCTGCGCTGCGTTCTCATTCATGAGGGGCGTTGATGCAGGAGCACGGGTTCTTCCTGGTGCAGCGCGGTACAGATGGGGCAGACACGTGGGTTTGGCTCCGTTTCACTGTCCCATCCCCGCCTTGCAGACGTGAAGTACCTGGAGAACCACACACTGGCTAAGGATGCTCAGGAGAAGGCCAACGCGGCGCTGCTGGAGGAAACCGGCTGCCACTACCCCCACTCCACAGACAAGTTTCGCCAGCTGCTGCTGCGGCTGGCGGAGGTCCGGGCGC